CCTGTTCTTTTGTTATCGAGCTGCCGTACTGATAATGTGAGAAATTTATAGGCTTAAAAGAATATAAATTTCAGTAAAAAGAAAATGAAAAAGAATAAAAATGAGATAAGAGAAAAAGAAAAGAGTAGTACCTTAAAAGAACAGGAAGTTAGATGAACTACCAACACAGTAAGTACACGATTGACTCTTAAAGAGTATCTTATCAATTAATTCAGGATAAAAGAGCTAAGAACATAAAGTTAGAGCGGTCAACAATCAATGAATGATAATAATAAGAAATGATAATAAAAATACCTCAAGGCTATAAATCCCTAGCAGATGATCCCTCACACTCGATCGATGCTGAACTTGATGATTGATGAAGAATATTTGAGCGATGTCGAGTTGTGATAAAGAAGATGGGATGAGGAAAGAGCCTGTTGACCGTGCCAAATTGATCATGATGTCATGATCACAACACTCCCGATCTGGAGTATTGACAGCACCTGCACCCACTGTGCACACCTAATCCCAACACCTGCACCCACTGTGCACACCCAATTCCAACAGGGAGGAACCCCTCCCAGCCTGAAAACATTTATCAAGTCTTGAGGCCAGGAGGGGTTCCTCCCGGCCTTGAGGCCTTACATGGCTCAAGGTCTAGAGGAATAACTCTTGGCCTTGAGACTGTAAAAGGTATCAAGGCCAAGAGGGAACCCCTTTGGGCCTGAGACTGTAAAAAGTCTCAAGGCCAAGAGGGAACCCCTCTTGGCCTGAGACTGTGAAGTCTCTGGGTTGACAAGGCCATCCTCATCAACCAGAAGGGGAAACCCTTCCAATGGACAAGGTACATGTACAGTGGGTGGACCATGATTTTTGGTTTGGATTCCAGAGCTTCAAAGCACAAGCTTGAAGTCACAAGATTTGGTGAAGTGGTGCATAATAGGCCCCAAAGAATGAATATGAAAAAATAAAAACAAAAAACAAAGTTTCAAAATCTGTGAAAAATAAAGCATAAAAATGTCTGCACACCAGCTGCAGATTGGCGTGCGCGCCTGCACGCCATTGCAGAATAGCGTGCAGGAAGGCAAGCCATTTGCCTGCAGGGGTATACCCTGCGGGTTGGCGTGCCTGCGTGCACGCCCAACTTTAGGTCCTAAACGCATATTTATATGCGTTTAGGACCTGGGCTGTCCCATAGGACCCAGGCATGGGTCCCATGGGACTCTTTTTTTTTCTTTTTTTTTCTGTGTTCTATGTACACAATTGTTCATTCACTACTTACTCACTACGTCATTCAGGGGCTGTGCGATCGACAATGTCCAGCGCACTTTTAAGCCCTCTCCCAACGTGCATCCTGATTTTATGTGTGTGCATGAGGCTGCGTGGCGACCGAGAAATGCAGGAGTAATTGTAACCTCGCCGATTCAAATCTAGTGCCACTAAGGTCGTGACATGCATAAAATCTGGTGAATG